GCAGTGTTATGAAGAAACACTTTTTTTTTGTTCTCACCTATTTATTAACAGCCATTGTAGCTGGACATTTAGAAAACCTGGCACTGCTTCATAGATGTTTCTGCATATGGCATGCATGTTTTTGCCTATAAAACAAGTTAACTGTTTAATAATAATCCCTTCCTGCTTTAATGTTACAAAAAAAATACAAAAAAACAATGCAAACCTTATCTAAAATATGGTATTTAAATGCTTCTCTGTGCAATTTCCATTTATACATGAAAATCAAACCAGAATAGATCAGAGCATTTGATCAAACTCTTGACTCCCGGCGCATTTTTGGTGATTTCAGAGTGCTGTAGCTTTCAGATTACCTAGGACATTTTCACCCTATTAAACAGCTAATCATTGTTATTTACTATGCCAATGGAGTACATTTGTAACAATATCTGGTATTATATTGCAAAGAACGTGTAACACACTCAGAATGTCTGGGTATTTAATTGTCTGCAAAATCGTTTCACTTATAAATCAGCTTGAGATTACTCTTAAATCATAAAAGTGTAACTTCTGTCTTGTGCTTTATTAAAAAAAAAAAAAAAAGACACTTTTGTTCTTATAATCTGGTCTTCTTTTAGGACAAATTTACAAAAGTCATGTAAAGGTTCATTATTAGTTTGCAATGTTTGTGGTTTAGTGAAAAAAAAAAACCCTTAATGTAAGCATTTTTATTTTTTCCCCATTTTAAAAAATCTATATACATTATAAAATTTTACTTTTTTTTTTAAATATTACTTTATTTCTCCTAGAGAGTCTGTCAAATGTTTCACAAATAACACTAAATAGCACAAACAGTATTAAATGCCAGTAACAGTTTTCCTGTTCTGTCTAGGCATTGCTAGAAGCACAGTATCCCCCCCACAACAAATATAGACAGCTCTATAAAGTCTCCCTTTATTATGCTTTATCATGGACTTTATTTCCTGAACTATATGAACAACAATGAAGCATTTTGATATTTCCTATCAGAGTGCAGGTTGTGATTACTGATGTGTCGAGTCTGTTTCCCAGAAAATAACTGTTCTAAAAAAAAATATAGTTCTATGCGTAAAAATCTGGGCCCCAAATTTCAGTGAAAATGTTTTTTGGTTTTTTTTGGGGGTGATTTTTAATTTTGTTTGTTTAGATCAGAGTTAAATATGCAAGCTCAGTGTCAAGATTGTTATTTTTTAATCCTGGTTAATTATTTAACATATTTGATCCCTGCTTGAAATATTCTAATAAAACAAATACAAATATGCAGTTCTTAGCTGGTCTTTCCTTTTAACATTAATATTAGTGTGTTGTATATCGGGGTTCAAACTAAAAGACAAATTTTCCTTAGAGTTCAATCAAAATATAATGATCATTTTGCTAGGTTAGATTCAATATATATTCAATCCCTTGTTTTACAATCTGTGGTACGCACACCAAAAGTAGGGGGTACGCCAGAAGCACATGGAGCTCCAGCTCAAAATAATCCCAGACTGGCTCTGGCATTACTCCCATTGCCTAATTAGACAAGTTAGGCAGTCTTCATCGACAGCCGAACTCGCCAAATTGGATATCCTCCTCACCACTGGGATGACAGGTGCATGCATTAACCCATTCCAAACTCTCTCTGGCGGTATCTGGCACAATTACACCATCTTCTGAGGCAATCCACGCATTGGATCCTGGGAAACTGAGAAGGACGAGTTTACGGGCGAGGCCAACCTCACACTGACTTTGGCTGGTTTTAGATGTGGTGGGAGCTCAGCTTATTAGCTAGGCAGTATTTGTTTTCAGAGACAATCTGAGTTCTGGGTGTAATAACCAAACCAAATAATGTAGGCAATCAACAAACATTTGGAAAATCTATATACAAATTGAGTAAATTGCAATTATTTACACTAGCTTATACTTCCCTCCAAAATCCCAAATTGTAACATATGTAGGAGGGCTGGTTTACTGCAGATGGTATCCACAGCATCACACTAGTGCTTGGTGACATATCCTGTTGTTAAATTTTGACCCCGTTGGAGGGATAATAGGGTAACTTGAGCAGTGGTGATGCAATGTAGTTCTTGTACAAGGTATCCAATAACTGCGCAAGAATAACAAGTGCCCAATACATAAAAATAAGGTTCTGTTTTCTGATTTAGTCTTCTATATTTTATCTCAGAGCTATATGTTTGTGTGTAAATGTGTGTGCCCGTGTCCATTTCCTTGGTATGTAAATGTGTTGGTGTATCTGTGTCCATTTCCTCTGTATGTAAATGTTTGTGTATCGGTGTCCATTTCCTCTGTGTGTGTGTGTGCCTGTGTGTGCCAGTGTCCTCTGTGTGTAGATGTGTTTGTGTCAATGTCCTCTGTGTGTTACTGTTGTGTGTATTGGTTTAATTTTGTCTTTTATACTTCAGATTAATAGTTTATACTCCTCCTTACTGTCAGGGATCCAGCACTCACCCTCAGTCCGTCGCCGCCCGCGGTCTCCCCTCGTCTCACCTGTCGGCGAGCAGCGTCTCCTCTCTGCCGCTCGCTGCTCGCGTCCTCCACGCCCCCCAGCGGCAGCATGTATAACGCTGCATGCTGGGAGGACACTAAATTATGCAAACGCCTGGGTCACGTGAGTGACCCGGCGTTAAAGAAACAGTACCTCAATCACAGTGGGAGGTATAGATATTCCCCACGTGTGATTGTTAATTCTGATTGGAAGTTATCCAATCAGAATTAAACCTAGGGTATTTATACTTACCCTTCCTGTCCCTCAGTGCCCTGTTGTAGTCTTGTGATACCTGTAGCGTAGTGTTCTCGTCTTGCTCTCTGGTTACTGATTATTTGGCTCGTTATTCCGATTATCCTGTCTTCTCCACTCCTTTGACCTCGGCTTGTTTCTCGTTCTCCCGTTTTCTGGCTCCCTTTACTTGGCTTGTCTCCTGACTATTCTTAGTGTGCTTAGTCCGGCCACTCTAAGGACCGGTATAGCACCCTTCCTGTCTGTGACCTGTTAGCGTGTTAGGTTCCGGAATCGTGACACTTACATACACAATTTTCCCATTATGTCATATTTATTGTAAAAATATTATTTACTGACATTATTCAGGCTTGTTTTCCAATATGGGAGTAACTTAAATAGTGTCAGTGTCTACACGTTTCATTTGGAATTTAAAGCAATATAAATTACTTTCTCGAGGCAGGAGTACTTAGGAATTATTTTAAGCTGCACATAAAAGGTTGAGAAACACTACAGTAATATTTTATCACTCAGTGACAGAATACTCTTTTTTTTTTTTTTTCTGTAAATTATTTTTCTTACTCTGTGGTGCTTATGTAGCAGTGTTTATAAACTATATTGCCCATACATCTTGGCTTAGAGAAAGGATGACCCAATTGTTTATTCACTGCTGTAGCAATACAACTCTCATGGTGCTTTGACAGCTTAGACCAGGGGTTCCCAATTAATTTTTTCTGTGGAAACCTTTGACATAGTGTATCAACGTCGTGGACCTCCCCCCCAAAAGAAAAATCCCTTTTGTGCCGTTGCATAGCCCTTTTTTATGTGCTGGTGTGTGTTTTTGTGTTTGTATGTGCCAGTGTTTATCTGTGTATCTGCGTGTGTGTGTGTGTATATATATGTATCTGACAAACAGGTACACACACCTTGACACACAGTGTGTATCTGTGTGTGTGTGTGTGTGTATATGTATGTATCAGTGTGTCAAAGTGTGTGTATCTGTGTTTGTATGTGCCGGTGTGTGTCAAGGTGTATCTGTGTGTGTGTATATGTATCTGACACACAGATACACAAACTGGCACATACACACAAACACTCAAGTAAACACGCTGGCACATACACACACTGATACACATATACACACTTCGATACACACACTGACAGATACATTGACACACAGATATAGACTGACACATACACACATACTCAAATACACACACTGCCAGATACACACAGATATACACACTGGCACACAGATACACAAACACGCAAGCACAGATACACACTGACACACTAAAACATACACACATACTGGCACTTACAAACACTGGCACATACCCACTCAGATTCACATACTGGAACTTACATATACACACAGATACACACACTGACACACAGGTACACACACTCAGATACACACAGTGACACATGCACACAGGTCATAATGTTTGTATTTACAGCCACCTTCCTGTTAGGTTATTTTCTCTTTTCAGGAGGCTGACTTTCTTTTGTGCTGCTAGCTGGTGGCTGTTGGAGTGCTGCTGGCATGTGTGCTGCTGGCTGAGGCTGGGTGCTGTTGGTGTGCTGCTGGCGTGCTGCTGGCTGAGGCTGCTGGCTGAGGCTGCTAGCTGGGGCTGATGGCTGAGGCTGCTAACTTGGGCTGGTGGGTGATGGCTAAGGTTGCTGCCTGCTAGCTGAGGCTGCTGGCTGATCTCTGGTGTGTTGCAGCTGGCTGTCACTTCCCCCAGCATCCGATACTGCAGGGGCCTGGCCGCAACGCCTGACCGGGCCTTTGTTTAGTGATACCCATCGGATGGCCCTAAGTGCTTGGGCCACCCGATGGGCAAATTGTGGCGGAACCCCAATGTTGTTCTCGAAACACCAATTGGGAAACGCTGGCTTAGACCAACAAAGCAACATGATTAGTGCAGTTCTACAGCTGAATCTTACTTTGGAGAACTTTGGATTAGAGCCCTAGCTTATGATGAAATTTCTGTGCCTAGGTTACTCTTCACTACTATATAGTACAAAAAAAAAAGTTTTTTTTTAGGTAAGCCCTGTATCTTTGTTTTATAACTATATCATGGATTATAAGCTAATTGTGATGCAAGAAATGTATAAACACATTATTATAGTTATGCTTAATTGTTAATTACATAGGAAAAAACTGTGAACCATTGCTTGGCCTATGTAGTTGCATTGAGGAAAACCCACTGTATATACTCAGCCCAGCATCTCTTCTTAAAGCGGCTCTGTTTTTTTGTTCCTTTGATTTTTCATTTCTTTATGCCCCTTGTATATTAATAGTAGAGCCATACTGGATAACGCACTTACCAAATAACCCAGATGCTCTAAAGCTAGGGCTGGTCACGCCTAATTCGAAAATATGCAGAATAAATAACAGTTCAGGCACTCCGGGATAACACAAATAGCAGCTTTATTGTTGTAAAAGCAGCAACGTTTTGACCCTACCAGGCCTTTATCAAGTCAAACAATAGAATTCAATAAACTAAAAAACTACAGTATTCAAAATCCAGTCTTATTGAAGTTTTATTTTAAATTTAATAAATGCAGAATTCAATGTTTGTTACTAAAGAGTTTGGTTTTGTGTAATTTTAAATATGCAAATATATTGCTTTACTTTCTTTGTATTTTTTTTTTTTCATTTAATAGACCCACTTTTATTTGCTTATTTTTATTTTATTTTTTTCCAAATGTATTTAAATCCCTGTGAATGGAGGCTCCAAATGTTACTTTTCTTTTGAAGTCGTTTCTTGTAAATAAAGGATTGTGTTTCACGTACAAAGAATAATGTAAGATTGACATGTGATTTAGTTGGCTAAAATGAAATCGAAATTATATTTCTTTAATGTACATAAACATCCTGCAAGATACATTACAATACCATGTACAATATGTTCATTTGCAGAATTAACTGCTTCATAAACTGCTTGTTTTTTACAGCTTTGCTTTGGCACTTTGAAAGTAAGGCTTCAGGTGACTCTCAAACATAGGATTAACCTAAAGAAACAAAAAAGTATGATTAAAAATGTTCATCGTTGACTCCTATGAGTTAAACATAGGTGGGTCAGAATGTACCCATCTTTTTACTGATTATCTGGCAATACCTCTTTGCTGAGAACAAACACAATTAATGTATTCCTTCACCAACCAGACCAAACTTTATTTAGTATTAGGCTGAAACCTAAATTGTTACAAACTATTTGTAAGAATAATAGTTGTTCATCAAAGTGTGAGAGATCACATATAATACACTGGTTTATAGATATAAAGTGTCATCATACTGACAGTTATATACATTTTTAGCTTAAGGGAATTTTTCAAGCATCATGCTGTAGTGGTTATGGTGCTAATTTGCTCTGAGAAAGTAAAAATGGTTTGACAACTTATCTGGGTCCCCAGGCACCTACACTGTAGACCCAGCTTCTCTTGTTGGAGAAGCTGGATGTCCACAATGAGCAAAGCCTGGCCAACCCAAGGCCAGTCTCATTGGCTGAAAGCACTCTGCTGATTCTCTCAGTCAATAATCATAGCCCTGTTTAATGGTGCACACTTGATTCTGATGAAACAGACTGCTGCTGCTGGTGCTCAGCGGAACCCTGGTAAGTTGTCAGACGTATCTGAAACGACAAGTTACCCTTGGAGGATGCAGGACACTCCTCGCACCATAACCACTACAACAAGCTGTGATGGTCATGGTACTTGGAGTGTTCCTTTACATAATCAGTAGTGTCTAAATAATACAAAATAGTTATTTGTATAAATGTTATGGAACATATTTTTTCCTTTTCTTGCACTTTATAGCAGCACATCGAGCTACTATTTATGTACTAATAAATTCCAAATTGTTGAATAAAAGCAGTCAAGTCACTATGCAGCTTTGGTTTCCAATTGTTCAGTTTATATATATCTATATCACTTCCTGATCTCATTTACCCTTTTTTCTCTAAAACTAATAACTTCAACATTCCACAAAACAAACAAAAACACCTGTCTATTAGTTATCAAGCTATCTATAAACCCTTTTTCTTCATATCCCTTTTCACCCCAATAGAGAGACAATATGTTTCATGTATTTGTTCTCTGAATAAATCAATGTCAGCAAATTCTGCGAGGTAACCACATTTTATCCCACCACAGAATCTCTAGTTGTGAAAGTAGAAAAAGTAGAATTGTTTTTTTTCTATTTGGTCCATTAATAGCAGTCTGTCAGCAGCATCTAATGTGCAGAATTTTGACTTTGTTGCCCTTCTGTTTGATGCTAATTCACCACTTGGCATATTGATAGGTGGGATTTTCTAAATTACTGTCAACCCCCATATCATGCTTACAGAAAGTTGTATGTAAGGTCCATGAATGTTTGTTGTTTTTTGGTTTTGTTTGTTTTTTACGTAAAATTGCATACAGTGAGGGGAAAAAGTATTTGATCCCCTGCTGTTTGCACACTGACAAAGAAATGATCAGTCTAGAATTTTAATGGTAGGTGTATTTTAACAGTGAGAGTCAGAATAACAAAAAAAAAAATCCCGAAAAACATGTCAAAAGGTTTTAAATTGATTTGCATGTCAATGAGTGAAATAAGTATATGATCCCCTATCAATCAGCAAGATTTCTGTCTCCCAGGTGTCTTTTATACAGGTAACAAGCTGAGATTAGGAGCACTTTCTTAAAGCAATCAATCAATCAATCAATCAGATTCCAAACTCTCCACCATGGCCAAGACCAAAGAGCTGTCCAAGGATGTCAGGGACAAGATTGTTAACCTACACAAGGCTGGAATGGGCTACAAGACCATCGCCAAGCAGCTTGGTGAGAAGGGGACAACAGTTGGTGCAGGTGCAGACTGAGCACTCAGGCAAATCGGTCATGGACCGAGGGCCCGAGGCTCTGGGGGCCCGGCCACTGCTGCAGTGCAGTAATGGCTGAGCTGGGGAGTTAAACAATCTCCCCAGCCAGCCTGCACTTAGTAAAGGGCCCGCACAGCCTTCCGCGGGGCCCCTGCTGCTAAAATATAATCGCCCTTGCAGGGCACACTGAAAGACAGCTAAAGCGCCTTCCAAAGACCCCACTAGGCTGCCCCTCAGTGTGCCTGTCTCCAAACACAGCCTCACTGAGCTGCCTGTAACTGCTCAGGGCAGCTCCATGCGGCTTGTTTTGCAGGAAGTGACATCAGCAGTCAGAGAGAGCTGTGCGGAGCTGCCCTGAGCAGAGTTACAGGCAGCACGTCAGCATTGAGTGCCCTGGATCAGTGAGGTTCCTTCAGAAGAGGACCACCAGAGAGGTAAGGCTTTATTTTTTTAAGTCATATTAATATTTTTTTTAATTAAAAATGTTTTATCATATAATTTGCCCCTCTACTGCCTCATCAGAGTACCTACCCTCCTGCTCTCACTGCACCCCATGCCCACATTCTCCCTCTGCAGCCCCCTTACCCCCTGCTCCAACCGATCCCTACTCCCTGCTCCAAGTGGAGCCCCTTACCCCTGCCCGGATCCTACCCCTGCTCCAAGTGGAGCCCTTACTCCTCTGCTCCAAGTGGAGCCCCTACCCCCCACCCCTGCTCCAAGTGGAGCCCCTAACCCCCCTGCTCCAAGTGCAGCCCCTACGCCCACTATAGCCCCAGGCACCCACTACATCCCCTATACCCTATGCACCCACTACAGCCCCTATACCCTATGCACTTACTACAGCTCCTATTTCCCCCTGCAAAGACAACAGCACCTATTACCCTTTGCACCCACTACAGCCTGTCCCTCCTCTGCACCCACTATTGCCCCCCTGTACCCTTTACAGTCCCTTCCCACTGTACCCTCTGCAACCCCTTCCTCTCGGCACCCTCTACAGTCCCTACCCCTTTGCACGCACAAACATGAAACATAAAGGGACACTATAGTTACCAGAACAACTACAGCTTAATGTAGTTGTTCTGGTGAGTATAGTCTACCATTGCAGGGTTTTTGCAGGATCATTTCTTTGTCAGTGGGCAAACGTTCAAAATCAGCAGGGGATCAAATACTTTTTTCCCCTCACTGTATGTTTTTTATTGTGCAAAATAAAATTCCAATATAGAATTTACCTTCTTGTTATCTGGATTTTTCTGAACACATTCTAGAAGGTTGTGATAGACATTTCCATCATAACTGCCAATCGCTGATAATAGCTCTGCATCCGTGTAGTCAAAAGCATCTACTAAAAGAACTGCGTCCTTCCTGTAAAACAGGATTGCATGAGATGTGGCAGTAGTGAGGAATTCATTTATTTCAATACTTTTACATTTTGGAATCTCACCGGATCACAGGCAAGAGGTTAAGGTAGGCTGTTGTCACCATATCCAGTTGTTTTCCAGACAAATATCCATCCTGTAGGAAATCTCCAGCATTGGTAAATATTCCATGCAGTGCGTACAAGTCACAGAGACTCTTTAATGCCTTCTGGATTTCTGGTTCTCGTGTAACCGAATTCAGTGCATCAACAAAAATTTTCACAGTCTTGTAGTGTGTATGAGCCTGGAAAACAGTGCAGTATTGTCCAATCAGAATGACACAATGTTAGAATAGTTAATGTGTTATTAGGGCTATTGCATTTTACTATTTGCTGCCCACTCTATTGTTATCTATTCTTTTTATATTTTCTTACATTTACATTATGTTTATGCTCTGATGCCTCTCTTGTGGTTTAGTTTAGTTTTTTTGCTTGTTTTTTGCTCCCCCCTTCCTGGTGCCCACTGGTCATTGAGAGTTAATGTAGCAGCCATTGCCATATATTTTCTGATTCTATTAGTTTTTGCTTGGCTCCTATTAGATCTTTTCCTGAGCAGGGCATTATACTTAATTATGTTTTGAACTTTTTATATCACTTAGTTTTTTTGTCTGTTGTTTATAATATTTAAAACATGGCTTAAACACTATTGGCACTAGAACTATTTCATGTCATTGACTTGGTTATAATGCTTGGAGTTCCCTGGCACTGACAATTCAGCTTTAGATCAGTATCAAGCAGATTAACATTAAATAAGAGTCCCTGGCCTCTACAGCCAGGCCAGTACTGGAGGCATGGATCAGGCAGAGTTTACACATGTCCTTCATACTCAATGGAAGGATGATGCCAGGGCAATCCAGAGTATGAACTCTTCAATAAAATGAGGTAATTACATTGCCCACAGTGTCCCTTTAATCTTCGAAGATATACGTGCATTAATTTATATTCCAACACTTCTTTAAGTGGACACATGGTTTAGTTCAGTAGGGGAAATGATTAAAATAAAAATCACTATTTGTCTGTAGCAGAACCAATATAATGATTTCAAAAATCCCTATTAACAACACCCATGCCATTTCTTTTACAAAGGTTGCCACCGCAAGGACATGTGGGTCTTCGGTTACCCCAACCAATTTAAATTAAAAACCCACAAAACACCATTTAGCAAATGTAGAGATGAAAACACCTTTACTTCTACTAAACATTGTACAATGTTTAGTAGATTTACCACTTTGATTTGGGATGAACTCTCATTAAAGGGTCACTATAGTGTCAGGAAAACAAAGCGGTTTTCCTGACACTATAGTGCCCTGAGGGTGCCTCGACCCTCAGGTTCCCCCTCCCGTGGTGCTAAAGGTTAAAACCCCTTCAGTTACTTAATCCAGCACCGGCTCCCTCAGCGCTGGTGACCTCTCCTCCCTGTCCGACGTCAGCTCCCTTGTCCAATGTCTCAATGCTTTCCTATGGACGCTCGGCGCGATGGAGGCGAAATTCGCCTCCAGCGTCGCAGATGCTCCTCTAGTGGCTGTCCGGAAGACAGCCACTAGAGGCTGGATTAAGGGTTAAAACCTGAGGGACCTGGCACCCAGACCACTTCATTGAGCTGAAGTGGTCTGGGTGCCTATAGTGTCCCTTTAAGGACTCATTTGCATGAAGTTTTGAGTAGGAACCAATGATTGGTTATAATAGGACTTTGGGAGTGATCTGTGGAAGCCAATTCCAGGCGAAACGCGTCATCACGCACAGTGTCACAGACATAGCTCTGCCCACCAGGAAGTGTTTGGGACATTCACAGCCCGTGTCTTTGCTTAACCGTCAGCGAACAGGAGGGAGGACTGTATCTGAACACAGGGAAGGAGGTCCAGTCGGGAGGTGATGGGCATAGAGTTATTTTAAGAATATTTTCAGAAATAAAGAAGTCACTTGCTGCCACATTCTTTTCCTTGCTGCTGCTATTTATTGGATTGGATTGGAGTGTGTGTATATATACGCGCTGACAGAGCAGGCTTCTATGCTCTCCACTTGTGAGTGGGTTTTCAATATTAGCCTTTTTACATATTTTATGCATACTGTATTACACCATATATTCTCTTTTTTTCTTGTTTACAGTTTATGATTCTGTGAATATTGGAGGAGACATCCTTATTGTGTGTTTTCAATAAGTGAATTATTCAGTGTAAGTGCTTTTTCTATTACTATAGGCACTAGAGCTTTTTACTTACATTTTCATACATTAGCACGGGATTGCTGTTTTTGCACATAATATTGTTTGAGAAGCAATATATCACAGAGCACTTGAGCAATATTTTGCACTTTTTTATTTATGGTTTATTATATGTGTCTTGAGAGCAATTGCACTTTAAAAGGACCTGCTTTTTGATTTGTAATATTTATCGTATATAATGGAACAGTTTACAGGGCAGGGAGGTCTGTTTATCCTGTTTGCCTAATCTGAAGCTGCTAAACCAGAAAAACACTCCAGTAGTGTCTAGGGCAGGGGTAGGCAACCTACGGCACTAATGCCATGCACGGCACTCATGGTGTCTTTGCACGGCACTCAAGGCTGCTAGAGCCAAACAGGATCTTGCCTATCAGGAGTCCCAGTAAAACTTCAGATATCTGCTAATCCGAAAAGTTGGTGAAGGACAATCCTCAATTTATGCATTGCAGCACGTAGAGGTAGTGATCTCAGATCACTTCCTCCCAGCACTTGTGAATAGGAATCTACACTGTAGTAGAGCATCTCGCAGTTGCTGTTGCAGCTCCTATCCTTGACATGTACCTGGTCGGCCTAGTCCCCATTGGAAGCTACCCACACTGCTAGATATACACAGAAATGCAGAATAACCCTCCCCTCATACAAATAATACGGACAGCCCACACACAAACATGCACACAATCCTCACAAACGAAACACCACTAACAATCCACATACATGCACACAACCCCACATGCAATACCCCAAAGAGTACCCACACACTACCAAACACACACTGTGACATATCCATCCACACACACAATTCCACAAGCAGCCCCCATACACAGCCCACATTCATATGTATCATACACAATACCATAAACTACTCATTAACATATACAATATAATAGCTCGTATACGCAGGGCCGTCTTTAACGCGGGGCAAACTGGCCAGCTGCACCGGTAATCCGCACACTAAGGAGGCCCACCGGGTGGCCCATGCACAAAGGACCACCCGGTGGGGTTCTGTCAGCAGGGGCTCGGTCGCACGCTGAGGCGCTTTAACAGCACGAGCGGGCCACTTGCTTTTTTACGGCAGCAGGCTGGGAGGAAGTGACAGCCGCGCATCACTTACTCCCACAAAGAGAGGAGCGCGCAGGAAAGAAGAGTAGGCAGATTGGAAGGGGCTGGCCGAGAGCACTAGACCCCAACTCCCAACACCTTCAGCCATAATCAGGAAAGGTAGGAAACTGGAGGGTGGGTTTTAAAGTGTATGTCTGTGTCAGTATGTCTGTGTGTCATCTGTGTGTGTCAGTATGTCTTTGTGTGTCAGTATATCTGTGTGTGTGTCAGCATGTCTGTGTGTCAGTATTTCTGTGTATGTGTCAGTATGTTTGTAGGTCAGCATGTCTGTGTATGTGTGTCAGTATGTCTGTGTGTATCTGCGCGCATTTCAGTGTGTATATATTTGTGTGTGTGTGTATATGTGCATACATCTCAGCATTCACACACTAACACTACACACAAATACACCCCTGCATTCAAATTTCAACACTACGTACAAACACATGTCTGTGTTACACACCAAAATTATGTGTAAATACACCCCTGCATTCAAAAACCAACACTACACAAATACATGCTTGCAATCACGCCAACACCACATGCAAACATATTCTATACAAAAACCTGTTTACATTCAAACACACAAAAACTGCTTAGTGCTAAATACAGACCTGCAAACATGGGTAAATGGTAGAGCCCCAGCTGTCAATGCATTTCTGGAGTTGCACGACAGATGGGGATCTACCTTTTAATCACCCGTGCAACAGGGAGACCCCCAAAGATTCTTGCACCTCTCTACTTTAGGCCTGCCACTGCGTTGAGGTGGAGGACGTGATTGCATGCCTGAGAAGGGGGACAGGGTCCAGGGGGCCCCAAGCAAATGCTTAACACAAGAGGAGGTAATGTATGCTCTCTGATAGAACGCTGCACACCACCTATATTAATGGTCAGATAACAAATCCAAAGCCAATTGGCTAAACCTCTACCTACTCAGAAAAATGGATGATATATAGCAATAGATTAAGGATATAAATTCCTCCAATTGTCATTATCTCTGACTTTATTGGGTAATGTCTATATCAGGAGTTGGATTTTCTTATATCGCACTGAGTAGTTGTCTAGGATACATGGAGCAGATGGCCGATGTAATTGATTCTACAAAATCGAAATATAGAGCTAGTAGAAGGTTGTTTGTGATTACAAATTGTTGCAATCTCTCCTCCTAATTTTGGTTAATGCAATTCAATATAGGAAACACTGTTTGAGAGAAGAAACTGGGCCAGATGGCTGTCAGGCTAAAGCTTCTATATTATCACAGTGTAGAAATATGTTGCAGAACGGACAGAGTATAAAGAAGATACTAATTAGTAACAGTTGCTTTAAAGGGACACTATAGTCACTAGAACAACTACAGCTTATTGGATTTGTTCTGGTGAGTAGAATCATTGTTACGCTACTTGGGTGATTTGGATTGGAACTCAACTGCAGCTTGTAAAACTCCCTAATTACAATAGTGAAGAAACGGAGAATCTTTAAAGTATCAATACTGTAGCTTTAAGAAAAGAGAGAATCACTGGTAACTTGATTCAACCGAAGTTTTAATAAGTGTTAAACTTAAATGAATTGCATTTAGGCAATAATCCAATAAGAGGAAGTGCAAGTAATCAACAACACAGTTCATTAATAAGTATTTCCTCAGAGATGCATTAAGTAACATTCTTTAGGTTAATGAGAATAATCTTCAATAGTAACTTTAAGCAAGTAGTTGAGACTATTTGCAAAGCAGGAACAGTTCATAGTTAATAAGCATGATGGGAGTTGTCCTCCATACAATTAGTAGCTTGAAGCACTGAGTGTATTTGCAAAGCAAGAAACAGTTCATTGTGAATAAGCATGATGGGAGTTGTCCTCCATATAATTAGTAGCTTGAAGCAGTGAAGATTTAGTAAGCAAGCATTAGTTCATTATTAAATGATAATGTAGACAAATAGCTGAAAGATATACTTAAGGTTAATGTGAGTAGTCCTCCAATAGTTCAGCGATATGGTCCACTTGTAAGGAAGTGAGTTTCTGTTCTCCAGTAATCCTCTATGGCACGAAGTATACTTGTCTTAGTCCAGAAGGCTAGGACGACATCAGAGTTTGTAGAGCCGGCGTGTCCCAGGAGCCGGCGTGCATACTCGGAAATAGGACCCACATTGCCAGAGCCTGTGGAGAGGTAAGTCTGGCGGAAGTAGCTCCCAGTATCACCAAGCCCGCTCTCTCTGGCGTGGTCTCCCTAAATACCGTCAGAGCTGAGTCAGAGGGGGGCGGGGTCCAGTTCCGCACAGCGGAGTGCGGAACCTGGAAGTGTTACCGCACGACATTACCTTCAGGCTTTTTGCTGTAAACACTGTATTTTCAGAGAAAATGCAGTGTTTACACATTACAGCCTAGTGATAACTTCACTGGCCACTCCTCAGATGGCTGTTAGAGATCCTTCCTGGGTCATGGCTGCCTAAAATGCATCCAATGCATTCAAACATCCTGGGTCATGGCTACCTAAAATGCATCCACTCTCTCCGTTCTGCAACATATTTCCACACTGTGATAATATAGAAGCCTAAGACTGACAGCCATCTGGCCCAGTTTCTTCTCTCAAACAGTGTTTCCTATATTGAATTGCATTAACCAAAATTAGGAGGAGAGATTGCAACAATTTGTAATCACAAACAACCTTCTACTAGCTCTATATTTCGATTTTGTAGAATCAATTACATCGGCCATCTGCTCCATGTATCCTAGACAACTACTCAGTGCGATATAAGAAAATCCAACTCCTGATATAGACATCACCCAAAAAAGTCAGAGATTAGGACAATTGGAGGAATTTATATCCTTCATCTATTTCTGTATATATCATCCATTTTTCTGAGTAGGTAGAGGTTTAGCCAATTGGCTTTGGATTTGTTATCTGACCATTAATATAAGTGGTGTGCAGCGTTCTATCAAAGAGCATACATTACCTCATCTTGTGTTATCTTCCAGCTAACACCGACATTCAGAGTCTAATATTTATCTTTTCATACATTTTTTAGACATTGGTCAAGCTCCTTTTTACTTGTTTTGTTTTGGTGTACATAGATGAAAACTGCATTACAGTACTATTACCTAGGTCTCTGCAGTAATGTGATTCTTCTCCCAGAACAAGGCAGAAGTTAAAAAGGAACATTTATTATGAAAAAAAAATAGTGCATACAAAATATTTTACAAACAAATTTGAACAGACATATTAAAAGGGAGAAAATTAACACAAGTGAAGTACCAGTACTTCCTAATATTACCAGTTCCAAGATAGCTTCTGGTAAAGAAAATGTAAATCCGCTACAAATTCGATTTGGCTCTCAAACTGTATTCCACAGTTTTTTAGGTTTTCTCGGATTATATACACTTTTTATGATCATCTTAGTTTCTAATCCGAGGAGGAATGGGGGCGGTTCCAGAAATCTCAGTATTTTGTGAGGGGCAATTAGCATGTTCCAAATCTGGCTGTTTATGTACAATGTTATACATTTATATATAGATGTTTCTGATCTCTTTGTAACCAGGCCAGATAATACTGAGACAAAACGTGACATATTCCATACATAACCCCCCCTTTTTTTTTTTAAATAAAAAAAATTACCCAATGTTTTATAAATAATGTTCATAGCTAGATACATTGTCTATATGATGTGCACCGTTAATTTATTTAGCTTATTCACCCAAAAATTTTTAATAAAGAACATTAGATACTAGCCAGTTAAACTATTGCCTCTTACATTGTGTTTTAGGGGGTACATTTAGTGCTGGGATCTTAGTCCTGTGATGTGGTGTGATTTTCTGAAAGCGGAGTATTGGCCATAGAAACCATTGGGATCAATAGGCTTATTTCAATGTTCTTTGACATGCTTGTACAACTTCGCAAAGGTTTTTTTTATTACTTTCCTTTTTTTTTTTAATTCAGAATAATTTGATTTTAAAAATCTGCCTTTATCTCTGCCAGCCATTGTATTCTGCGAATGGTGACACTGATTGGTGTCAACCCAGGAAACTCTGGTGATTGGAGCTGTCCCATAGAAACATAGAATGTGACGGCAGATAAGAACCATTCGGCCCATCTAGTCTGCCCAATTTTCTAAATACTTTCATTAGTCCCTAGTCTTATCTTATAGTTAGGATAGCCTTATGCCTATCCCACGCATGCTTAAACTCCTTTACTGTTAACCTCTACCACTTCATCTGGAAGGCTATTCCATGCATCCACTACCCTCTCAGTAAAGTAATACTTCCTGATATTATTTTTAAACCTTTGTCCTTCTAATTTAAGACTATGTCCTCTTGTTGTGGTAGTTTTTCTTCTTTTAAATATAGTCTCCTCCTTTACTGTGTTGATTCCCTTTATATATTTAAATGATTCTATCATATCCCCCCTGTCTCGTCTTTCCTCCAAGCTATACATGTTAAGATCCTTTAACCTTTCCTGGTAAGTTTTATCCCAAAATCCATGAACCAGTTTAGTAGCCCTTCTCTGAACCCTCTCTAAGGTATCAATATCCTTCTGAAGATACGGTCTCCAGTACTGTGTACAATACTCCAAGTGAGGTCTCACCAGTGTTCTGTACAATAGCATGAGCACTTCCCTCTTTCTACTGTTAATACCTCTCCCTATACAACCAAGCATTCTGCTAGCATTTCCTGCTGCTCTATTACATTGTCTGCCTACCTTTAAGTCATCAGAAATAATCACCCCTAAATCCCTTTCCTCATATGTTGAGGTTAGGACTCTATCAAATATTCTGTACTCTGCAATACACAATCTTGCTAGCCTGCAACTCCTAACACAGACCCCAGCTCTCCTTCCCGTGAATTAGTCCAGATACCTGAAGTAATTAGCCAAACATATCCCAGGGCTAGGCAAGGGACACCAGCTGTCTCACTTTCTTTACATAGACAGACCAGATACACCTGCTGTAACTTATTAAATTAAGCACCCTCTTCCCTTCATGCTTCACCAGCTGCCATAGCATAGTTTTATCTCCTATTATGGAGAGCAACTGCAGTCAAAAAGTTTCATGTCTAATTTGTCTTGGAGGATAAGAGTGCATTCAAATGGATTTGTGGTGGCTGGCTAGTTAAAGCAGCCAAGCTTTTCTCATTTTATCCCATTGCATATTATTAATTATACTCCCAGCCTTTATTTATATTTATCTTTTTTTTTCTTGCAATGGATTTCATTATCTGGGCACCACCATTTTGTTTTCCTGTGCCAATGATATCTGCAGTTTTCCCTTCTTTTGACTGATGGTTTTTGGATAAATTACATTAACAATTGTAACTGTATCTTGCCAAATATTGCAAAAGATAAATTAAAAACTAAGAACAAAGTAGTTTCTCTTATATGTAGAAAAAAAACCCCACAAAGTGACAGTGCTGCATTAAGACCCATGTAACCTGTCACAAAGGTGCCTTGTGCTGAGGTTATAAAGTCCTACCGGTATAACGAGGGCATAGGGACAAATACAAAGTAAATGGCAAGTTTAACATGCCAGATCTGAATCTTAAAGGGACACTATAGTCACGAAAACAATTTTAGCTTAATGAAGCAGTTTTATTGTAAAGATCATGCCTCTGAAGTTTCATTGCTCAATTATCTGCCATTTAGGAGTTACATTTTTGTTTCTGTTAATGCAGCCCTACCCACAACTCCTCTGGCTATGACTGACACATCATGCATTAAAAAAAATGGTTTCACTTTCAATCAGATGTAACTTACTTTATAGGTTTGGATCTCCTTCTCTGTATATTGAAATTTAATAACACGCAAGATGGTCCAGGGTCTAGCAAGCTAGTTACAGAGCAACATATCAGATATTCTAAATTAAACAGTATTTGCAATAAAGGAAGTATAAACATTAGATGATTCTTTACAGGAAGTGTTTATTAAGTAACATGCAGGGAGGTGTTCCTAGGGCTATATAAACAAAGTGATTTAACTGCTCAATGGCAGTGAATTGAGCAGTGAGACTGCAGGGACATGATCTATACACCAAAACTTCATGAAGCTAATGTATACTTACTATAGAGGCCGTCACCAGCTCCACCGATGTGTTATTCCATGCCAGATACTGTTCACTGCCAGACTGGACCAAGCTTTGCAATTTATGTGCAGCTGCTGCAATGAGTCTAGAAAATGCATTTAAATAAATGTTAATTTCCCAAGTATTTGTAGCAAATGATGTCCTATATCTTATAACAGATTTTAAAGTTCTCGGAGATATTATATATGTGACAGCAATTGATCAGGGCTGAAAACATGAGGTTACAGATTTTGTGTTTTAATGTGTGTCTGATAATGGGGACATATGGGGGTAGGTTTGAGTTTTGGAGGTAAGCCATGACAGACTCATGGGGGACTCCTTTGCTAAGTTTCGCAGTCCCCTCTTAGTTACAGGGCCAAATATATGGGTCAAATATTTTTACATTGAAAATGGTCAGGTTGGTTACGTTGCCTTTGAGAGCGTATGGTAGCCCAGGAATGAGAATTACCCCCATGATGGCATACCATTTGCAAAAGAAGACAACCCAAGGTATTGCAAATGGGGTATGTCCAGTCTTTTTTAGTAACCACTTGGTCACAAACACTGGCCAAAATTAGCGTTCAATTTAGTTTTTTTAACTTTTTTCACACACAAACAAATATGAACGCTAAATTTGGCCAGTGTTTGCGACTAAGTGGCTACTAAAACAGTCTGGACATACCCCATTTTGAATACCCTGGGTGGTCTACTTTAAAAAAAAAAAAATATGTACATGTGGGGTGTTATTCAGAGATTTATGACCGATAATAGTGTTACAATGTCACTTATGATAAATTTTAAAAATGTATGTTTTGAAACCGCAATATCCTACTTTTACCTATAGCCCTATAACATGCAAACAAAACAGCAAAAAAGCATGTAAACACTGGATATTTTTAAACTTAGGACACAATTTTGAATCTATTTAGCAGTTTTTTTGATTTGCTTTTGTAGATGAGTAAAAGATTTTTCAAGTAAAAGTCAAAAAACATGTATTTTTTTTCATGAGATTATATAAATAATGGTATGTAAAGAAAGCCCTTTCTGTCCTGAAAAAAACAATATATAATTTGTATGGGAACAGTAAATGAGAGCGCGGAAAATTACAGCTAAACACAAACACCACAAAAGTGTAAAAAGATGCCTGGTCGCAAATGTACAACATCGCAAAAACAGGCCGGTCCTTAAGGGGTTTAAATCAAAATAGCCAAACTGGAAGCATGGCTGACATAGAGGATCTTTTCAGTTCAGCTATATTGGCCTTAAATTTTAAATTAACTTTGAATTTACCACAATTTCTATTTTAGTAAACAACCTTATAAAATATTTATTTTCTAAAAACTATTTGGTTGTAAAGTGAACACCAAACAGTTGATTTGGAAAAAATCTCCAACTCCAAAATAGTTACAGCTGGGCTATTTTAACCAAAATATTGCAATTCATTGTTCAGTTGATCGCAATTTAGTGTTCAGCGAATAAACTTTAAAATAAATAAGAATTAAAACCTTAAACTCCCTAGGAATTGCATTCCTTACTTGTATGCTTACATATCCTTTGTACAGCTCTGTGGAATATCTGGAGTGCAGGAATACTTTTATGAAGCTAGGCTAATGATACCAAATACCATATGGAAATAATATGTCACTATAATGAATTTGCAGGAACAGTACTTCATATTGTCTGGGTTTTGCTATACACATGAAATGTAAATACATTACAGCGCAATTCCCACCTAAATGCTCTGTGCTGATAAGCCTCCACATATACATCAGGATTCACAAAGTCCAAATGGTTGCTTGCAGGACAATGACCAGAGGGTGGAAATGATAAATACATCGTAATGGGAGGTAACTGCTGTCCAGACTGGGCGCCAGCAAAACATTTGATCAAAAACCTAAAGGAATCATGGGTGAAAAAATTATTTAGCAGAATTAGTAGTTTTAGTAGTCTGAACTTACAGTTGTACTTAAAAGTTTGCATACCCTTGGAGAATTGGTAATATATGTACCATTTGTTTAAAGAAAACATGAGTAAGCAGGCAAAACACATTTCTTATATTTCTTATGGGATTCATATTCAACTGTAGGTTATAACAGAATGACACAATCATAAGGCAAAATAAAATGAAATGACCCCTGTTCAAAAGTCTGCATACCCTTAGTTCTTAACACTGCGTATTGCCCCCTTTAGCATCAATGACAGCATGCAGTCTTTTGTAATAGTTGTCTATGAGGCCCCTAATTCTTGCAGGTGGTATAGCTGCCCGTTCGTCTTGGCAAAATGCCTCCAGTTCATGCAAAGTCTTTGGTCGTCTTGCATGAACAGCACATTTGAGATCTCTCCAGAGTGGCTCGATGATACTAAGGTCAGGAGACTGATGGACACTCCAGAACCTTCACCCTTTTCTGCTGTAACCATTGGAGAGTCAACATTGCCTTGTGCTTAGGGTCATTGTCATGCATATAAAGTCCTAGAGTGTCCCATGCGCAGCCTTCGTGCAATGCAAAGTATTTTCTGATAGCATGCAGCATTCATCTTGCCATCAATTTTCACAAGATTCCCCTTGCCATTAGAGCTCACCCCCCCCCCCCACAACATCAGTGAGCCACCACCATTCTTCACAGTGGGGATGGTATTCTTTTTACTATAGGCCTTGTTAACCCCTTGGCAAAAGCGTACTAAGGGGAGGGCGGGGGGAGAGGGGCGGTCTGTCCCAGGTGCCACTCACTAGGGGGGTGCCCAGGACAGACTGCAATGCCCTTCCTGCACCCATAGCCGAGACCGGTCTGCAGCTCCGCAATTTGCAGAGCTGCAGACCATGTGTCTCACATGCATTCCCTGTCATCATCAATCACCCCCTCCCTCTCACAATAACCCCACTCTCTCACACAATCACCCCCTCCCTTTCCTCATCACCCCCCTCCCTCTCACAATCAGACCCCATCCCTCTCATCATCACCCCCTCCCTCACATCATCACCCACCTCCCTCTTACAATCACACCCCCTCCCTCTCACAATCAGATCCCATCCCTCTCATCACCCCCCTCCCTCTCACAATCATATCCCGTCCCTCTCACAATCACCCCCTCCCTCTCCTCATCACCCCCCTCATGAAATATAGGTTCGCCCTGGTGCCAAATGCTCCAGGTACGCCCCTGCCCCTCGGGCATATTGTAACCAGCTTTTTTTGTGGAAGCTGTGAGGCATGTCAAGGTGTTGTCAGGTATATTGTAACTGGGCTTTTTTGTGGCATTGGCACAGTAAAGGCTTCTTTCTGGCAACTCGACCATGCAGCTCATTTTTGTTCAAGTATCGTCGTATTGTGCTCCTTGAAACAAACTGTAACGAGAATATACCCCAACACGCAGGATTTAGCTAAACAGAAGACAACACAGAGGAGAGATACGTCTACCGGACCTTAGAATGGCCGGACTCGACGTATATGAGAGGAGACAGAGTCAGGAACGATCCGAAATCAAGGGCACGGAGAGACAGTGTAAACTAGGACAAGCCGGGGTCTGGTACACAGTAAACAACAAGCCGACAACCAGAACAGATAAGGATAAAGAGAAAACGTAGTCAGAAACAAAGCCAAGGTCAATACGGAGAAACACAACTGAACACAACAAGCGCTAAAGGGAACTGATACAGAAACCACAATAGGGCAGGGAGTAAAGGGAGAGGTAAGTTTAAATAGCTTTAAAACTAATGTGATTGGCTCCTGTCATATCCACACCCCCAAAAGGTAAGTGTATGGGGAGTGTGGCATGACAGGGGCCAATGGGAGCCTTTTGATAATTTAGGCTCCCACTGTCTCTTTAAGAGCGCGCCCGAGACTCGCGGCGCGCTCTTAGATTCAGGCGGGACACGTGACCGCTTCTCGCGGTCACTGCCCGCCTTGCTAGTGGAGCCGTCAGATGAGCCGCGCGCGGCTTGAAGAGAGGACCGCGGCCGGCCCCTGGAGAAGGTGAGTAACGCTACACAAACACACTGTATTTTTCCAGAGCAGCCTGTATTTCTCCTCAGGTTACCTGAGGGTTTTTCTTTGTATCCTGAACAATTTTCTGGCAGTTGTGGCTGAAATCTTTCTTGGTCTACCTGAGCTTAGCTTCGTATCAAGAGATGCCCAAATTTTCCACTTCTTAATAAATTATTGAACAGCACTGACTGGCATTTTCAAGACTTTGGATATCTTTTTATATCTTTTTCCATCTTTATAAAGTTCCACTACCTTGTTACGCAGGTCTTTTGATGGTTCTTTTCTGCTCCCCATGGCCCACTATGTAGCCTGCTCAGTGCATCCGCATGCAGGGGAGAGCTGGCAGCCTTAGACCTGGGTGCAAAACCAGTCAAGTGGCCCATTGCACCACCAAATCAGTTCACCATCCATGCCCACCTTCTCCTGGTTTTAGAACGCATATTGATGTTATGCTAATACCCGCTCCTTCACGGCTCTGACTTTCAATGTTGTCAGAGCTCAGACTGAGAATCTCTGAGCCTGTGCTCTGACTCACTAACTGAGCGCCGGAACCACGAGGGAGAGGATATAATCTGACTGCACCTACTGCTGGTGCGCACCAGTGGACCACCAGCGAATCGTTTAAATTGAATATTCTGGTGTCCCCAACTTGGGAGCTGCGTTGGCCGCCGGGCGCCTCTGTTGTCATGGCACCCTGTGTGTCCGCACAGCGTGCACACCCCAACGGCTGACCCTGCTGACACACACTGACGTTACTACTTAGAAATCCCTCAGTATTAATACAGACATCAGAGTAAACACCAATAAACTGTGGAAACAGAGCTGATCCCCCCAAATTTATAAAGATTTGCTTAGTGGATTTGTTGTAAGATTAAATCATGCCTCCTCCTCTCTCTCCCCCATGCGCTGCTTGTAGGCTGGGAGGAAGTGAAGAGTAATCACATTCTCCCAGCACTGCGCCACCGGTGGCTGCATATGGAATAGCTGGTTAATGTAATGCTTGCAGGATGGCCAGCTGCCGCAGAACCTCTTTGTTCCTGTCTCTGCAAAGGGCTCCAGGCACTGCTTGCTGTGAGTGTGAGTCACTGTAAATTAGGGGCAGAGGGCACTTGCACTGCGGTTAAGACGGGTATGGGCAGGAGGAGAGTGCAGTGAAATCAGTGCACTCCCCTCCTGTGGGTCACCAGTAGACTGGTGCACCTGCCCAGGATCAGAGCAGGTGCAAGGATTGTTGGCGCCCAAGAAGGCCGACTCATAAGTCCACTTATATGTTCCACCCACCCATGAGTTCACTCACAGTGAGTGGAGTGTGTAGGGGATGTGTTATGTGTTATTGTAGAGCAGTGGCGGATCCAGAGCCTGATCTCGGGAGGGGCACTTGTAGATTATTTAAATAAATAATCCAGGCACAATAACCACTACAGCTCAGTGTAGTAGTTATGGTGTCAGTAGTGCCAGGATTCCACCCCAGAGTAAGTAGTCATACCGTTTAAGAACAGTTTGACAATTTACCTGGGGTCTGCTGGGATATAGGGTATAGGAGCAGTTGTGTGTGTTAAGGGTGAAGTGTGTGAGTGCGGCAGTGTATGTCAGGGACAGTGTTTGTGGGGCAGTGTGTGTATGGGGACAGTGTTTGTGGGGCAGTGTGTGCATATGGGGGCAGTGTGTGTATGGGGATAGTGTTTGTGGGGCAGTGTGTGTATGGGGATAGTGTTTGTGGGGCAGTGTGTGTATGGGGACAGTGTGTGTATGGGGGACAGTGTTTGTGGGGCAGCAGTGTGTGTATGGGGACAATGTTTGTGGGGCAGTGTGTGT